GGAGCTTGGTGGGTTGGGGTGATTGACCAAGTAGAGATCACCTACGAAAAATGGCTGGCAGCAACACCACTGGAGCGGCTGGGTATAGAGCCGCAGGCTACAGATGTATGGACAACTGGGAAATGGGCACGAGTCAATGCCAGAGCGGCAACTATGATTTTGAGCTCGATGACTGAGCAGCTGAAAATGGATATGGTGGCTCGCCGTACAACCCAGAACTGTGTAAAAATGATGTTCAGAGTCTATACTTACTACCAGCCGGGAGGTGGAGCCGAAAGGCACGATGTGCTGAAGAGGCTACAGAATCCAGCTGACTACGCAGGAGGTGAAACGCTACATCATGTTCTACAAGCACTTCGTGCATGGCCAAGGTGGATGGAAAGATGTCGCAAGGTTCACATGATTCCTCCTGACCCCAGCGTTTTGGCAAGGGGTCTAATGGGACCCACAGACAGGCACATATCAAGTTCTACAGATGCTAGTTTTCGCACGGCTATGTTGCGGACGACACTGAGGCTGGATGCACGACCGACGGTGGATCAGGTGTTGTCCTACCAAAAACACCTACAGGCGGAAGTCGAAGTTCTGATCGCTGCGCAGGTGAATGGAGCTGCGCCACTGCAGCCAAAGCTGAGGGCCGTGGATACCGGCCTGTCACCCAAGGCCCGAGATACTGCTGGGAAGGGACAGTTGCCTGATCTCTGTCGATATTTCGCCAAAGCATCTGGCTGTAAGCGTGGGGAAAAATGCTCCTATTCACACAGCATGGCTGGAATGGACAAGGATGTGCGAGCACGCAAGTGCTTAAAATGTGGTTCTGAGAGCCACCGCCAGAAAGAATGTCCAGTGGGACGCCCTGGTGCCAAGAGCAATCCAGCAGGACCACCAAAGGACGGCGGAGCTACAAAGCAAGGATCTACCACATCGCCACCCGCTACGTTGAGCACAATGTCTACGCTGGATTCGACGAGAACCTCAACTCTCCAGAATGACAATGCCGTGCAAGGAACCCCGTGGATGCTGGAGACATTGACCCAGGCGGCCCAGCAGGTAGTACAACCACAGCTATCTGAGAGAGGAGGTGACAGTTCTCCCGAGAAGACAGAAAGGCCTCAGGTGAGAACACTAACCTTGCGAGATATTCGAGTCTGCGCAGCAAGTTCTTCTACCACAGCCTTGGTGGATAGCGGGGCTACGCATAGCCTCCGAGCCGCAGGATCGCAGGCTGAATGGGACTCCGCATCAGAAGTTGCAGTACAGTTAGCTGGGAATCACAGACTGGTGATGAGAATCACAGATACAGGTACACTTGATGCCCTACCAAGGTCCACTTGCCCGTGACCATCAAAGGGATGAGATGAAGGCCCAGACCATTGTACCTATGGGACAGCTAATTCAGACGCTGGGCTATACTATGGTCTGGAACAGGAAGGCCTGCTATCTAGAGTCTCAGGATGGTGAGCGAGTCCAACTTCAAGTTGACGGCGGGTGTCCACAGCTGCGGGAGCTGGAAGCTTTATCTCTTATAGCGCGGTTGGAGGATCG